TCTGTGTACGTAAAAATTTTACGAAGTTACTGGTTATTGGAAATATTCGAATTAGTGTAATTTTTAATTTAACTTTAAATAATAGACTGATAAGTTACAAGAATCGAAAATTAAGAAGTTTTACCTTTCGAACATTTTTAAATAAATTGACCTAAACTTATAATTAATAAAAACTTTTCGTTGTGTACACTAGTTCAATAACACTTAATATTAAAAATTTCTTGAAACACCTTACGTACCTTGTCGTGGTTAACATGATGAACATGTGCAATACCTTATATGCATATAGATGAAATATATGTAAGTATATATCATTGTATATTCAACTAATAATGTATTCAAACGCCATCATCTATTGACTTTTCAAAGTAAACTTGTCTCAGATTTGTTTTTTCTTCAGATTGAATTTGAAATATAAAAAAACAGAAACCAAATAAAGAAAAAAATTGAGTGGAAATATGAAAATCTACAGATTTTTTTTTTTAACTTTTACTTTTTAAAAACGTGAGAAGTTGTGTTTTTGCAGTTTTTTCTTTATTAAAGCCTCTTATTTCCCTCTGGAATATTTTTGATTTGAATATAAAGAAATAAAATTCTTATATAAAGATAAAAATTGGTAATAAACCATATTAAGCACAGTATGGAACCTCTAATTTATTATGGTATTAAAGGTGTGTAGATATTACCATCGTGCTGGTTTTGCCCTAGATTTTATCAAATTTTTTCTTTTTATATTTATGGTTAATTTTACTTTCTTCTCAGTTCTCGATTTCATAAAATAATATTTGATTTTGTACAAATTTAATTTTATCTTAATCTTTAACAAATTTGAAAGTTTTATTAATTAAGAAACTAATGAATTTCTTTCATATTATTCTGATATGCATGACCACTGATTTTTTTTTTCTATTTGTATGACGGGCAAATTATTGGTCAAAAAAATTTATGTAAAACTCTAAAAATTAAAGAATATTAAGAAGAAGAAATGAAAATAAAAGGAGAAAGAAACAAAGGTAAAAATCAAAAATCATTTTTTCATTTGTGCGAGTACTTTTTACTGATTTGCATATGCAAAAGTGTTTTGCATTACAAAATAAGTGTCTTTTCTGGGCTATCAAATAAACAATCCGAGACTTCAGAATTGAAGTTAAACTGTGTTAGTACTGCATTCAAGAATTTCAAGATATAAACTAAGTTATGTATTAATTGCGTATTTCAGTTATTGAAAAATGTGCACAAAACAATTTGAGGAACCTAATGTAATTTAAAAATTTGGTATTGGACGGTCGGTATATGAATTTTACCGGTACATGACATTGATATATAAGTATGTGCGAGTTATCAAATCCCATTGATATTTTAATAGAATTTTTTTTGAAATTAATAGGATTCGCTCCTAAACATATGCAATATTTTACTAGATTAACAAAAGACTTAATTTAATTCATTTTCGTTATAAAAATCTTAAAACTTTTATTAAAATATTATGAGTTCTAGACTTTTATATGAAAATGTCCTATTCTGCAAAATCTCAGGTTTAAGAGACAGCATTTTTTATTAATTTTTGAGTAGAATACATAATATAAAAAAATTATTCTCCTTTTGCTGTATAACAGTTTTAACACTGGAAACTCTAGTAAATCACTTACAACAAACAGCATTATTAATTCAATATTACATATACATAAACCGACTCATCACTTATTTATAAAAGTTTTATAAATAAAAATTTTTTGTATAAATATTTAAACTGTACGAATTTCAATAAGATTTTTGAACTTTAGGAGCGTCAAAAACGTGATCATCTAAATACTATGGGTATTATAAGAAGTTATAGAGTATGAAAAATGGTATGCGCTAAGTACAATTTATAAAAAACAATTTAAAATTTGTTTCTTCTTTTTTAATTTTTCTCGCGAAAATGTCAACGACATAAATATTTTTCTGTTTATTTTAGAAAATTATATTTTTAAGTGAGATAGAATGCGCGCAGGTATTTTGATAAAAACTACAATTTTCATATATACAATTTCGAATGTATTAAATGATAAAAATATTTGTAGTTATATCACGTTAAAAATTTTTAATTCCGAATCATAAAATATGTTGATCAGAATGATCTGAATTTTAATATAAGTTAAAAGCAAGGTGATATTCATTGTATTCATTGTACGTGCATTTTTTGATGCTAAATAAAAGTAGTGTGTTTTCCTCATTGAAAAATATGCACGACCATTGAAATATATAGGTGAAGTATGCAAAAACGATTATTCATTAAAATTCATAGGTCAAACTAGAAAAATTTGTTCCAGACATACACTTACAAATATACGACATAAAATTAAAAATGTCTAGTCTGTTTAATTTTTTTATGCTAGCTGTTAGGGTATAACCATTTATTATTTTATATAGTTAATTATTAAAATTAATTCCAAAGCCATTCGTAAAATATTTATGTTTTTAAATAAACTGCATAAGTCATAATCCTTTCTTATAGTATTTTAAATAAATTCTATATTTAAACGCGTCTTAAGCATAATTAAATAAATAAATTACGAAAAGAGCCTTTAGCAATCTTAATAATTTTTCTTATTGTGCGGTTTAATGGGGTTTTAAAATTAAAATGTTACATCTTCAAAAAAGACATTTATACAACCATTTCTTTAATGTTTCATATTTTAAGATTAAATAAGCATTAAATAAAAAAAAGTTTTAATATGGCAAAATTCTTTCAATAATAATTAAATTGCAATTTTCATGCATGGTTACTTAAAAGAACAATATATTAAGTACCTATATATGAAAGAACGTTGAAGATGTTTTTGATTAGAGATACTCTTATAAACAGCCAACATTCTTAAATATTATAAGTATATCCATTGCCCAGTTCATCATTTAGATTTAAAGCCAATAATAACTTAATTATCAAGGTAATACAAAACATCGTTAAATATTTATTCAAGGTAAGGAAAAAGTCATAAAATTTCATGAGAAAATAAACAATTAAAGAAGAAAATAAACAAACTCAGCTGAATATGTACAGAAGTACATGATACATATGCATGACATTTGTATATTTAATTTCTTTTATTCCAGTGTTAAAGTTTACATTAATATTTATTGTTAATAATAATCTCAATAATTGGAAAATTCAAAATGATTTTATCAATTTGTTAAAATTAATTCATTATCAAAAATAGCCTACTCATGTTTACAGGCGCAAATTCAATATTGTTAATTTTAAACAAACAGGGTGCCATAAGGCTTTTTCGTAACTTTAAATGAATAGAGTAGTATCACTTCTAGTTTAAACTCAATAAAGTTAATATTTTACTTGAATTATTCGAAACCATCATATTTTAGAATAATCTTTTTTCCATATCAATATGAATGATATAATCATATTATAGTTTAGAGATGAGGGATATGTCCTTTATGACATTAAGGAACATTACGGTCTATCGTTGAGTTTTAGTCTCCCTAAGTATTTTTATTTCATGGTTTTATTTAAATGGTTACATGGTAATAGTATAAAATCATAATATAATAAAGAGTCCGGATTTTAACATTTATATTTTTCAATCAAAAATATATTAAAGCTATCAGTTCTTAAATTACTTGCATTAAAAAGTTTTCATGTATACTGTTACAATTACAGTTTTATATGTGTGCTCAAACATGCAAATATATACATGTTGTAAAATAATTTCTAACGTATAATATGGAATTGTTTGAACGTCAATGTTTTTGAGAGTGTAGTGTATTAAAATATGGAAAGATAAAAATTACAAAATGAGACGTATACAATGAGTTGTTTAAGCAAATCTAGATGTTTTAAAACTTTAGCCTTCTTATCTCTTAATTACAAAAATAAAAAATTATTTTGAATATAGACTAGAACTAGTTAACTGAAAACCAAAGACAAATAAGTGTTATAACGTTATAAGTTACAGCTTGTCTTATTTGTAGTTTTATACATGTTTAATCTTACACTTGCTAACACGGTTCGTTGCTAATAATATATAATTAACAGAGTTCATTATGATTGACTTTCACTGTTATTTTGTGTATTTATCGAGAAATTTAGTATAATAAATAATTACAATTAATTAATTTAATTTTAAACTTATTGAAAAAAATAAGAAATTTGGTGAACTCAAGCATAAAATTAAGACAAGAAGAAAAGTAAAGGTTCCATTAATTAAAATAATTTGGTTATTTTTGTATATTATATTTGACTATACACACGTGAACTATATTGAATATAAATAAATAATGTTGAAAGTTTTAAATATGAAAGCAAGAAAGAAATTATTTTAATTTTTTAATAAACAAAATTGTAAAATTTGTAAAATCAATTTGATATCGTATTAAAATGCAAATTTGTAAAAAAAACGTGTACATAATTTATTATAATTATTAAAAATTAATTTTTTTTGATTAATTTTGTTAATTATCATAAAAATTACATAGTTTTATTGGAAAATAGAATGTAAAATTTTCCTTATTTGAAGTAGAGTATGTGTATGCGATTCTATTAGAAAATTATTTAAAATTTATTGTATACATTTATGTAAATGTAAAGCTATAAGCCATGTTCGAAAGTATAATAAGAAATTTAAAATTATGTACATCAAAGATCAATTAGATCAGGTTGTCTGCCACCGATTTTCACAAGAATGTATCTGCATCGAGATACCTAAATATTATTATGTGTCAGTTGCAATAGGCTTTTATATGCAAAATGCGTTAAAATCATTACGGAAGTGTTATTACTGTAAACGGTTTATAGAATATTAAAGATTAATATTATATATATAGGACAGGGCTATTTCTCTTACTATTTCTTGTATATAAATCATTAAACCTCTTTTGAATATATATTAGATTTATATATATTAGATTTAAAACATACATTTATTTTTATTATTCACATTAATTGAGCACCATATAAACAATAAAACTTTTTCATTTTTTCCCTCTTCTTTATGTACTTTTAGATTGATGAAACGAAATTCAATATTTAAGACACAAAGAAAATCTTAAAATAGAGAAAAAAAACCAAAAAATGACATCGGCGGACAAAAGTAAAAATAGCAGTAGTACTGCTAATGGACACCATCATGTTTGTAGTAAACATGGTAAACAACAACAAAATCATAATGTAAAGGTAAGTCAATAATTTTATACACATATTGAATTGAAATATTTTATTTAGTTTTGTGATTGCTCATAAATTTGAAAATATACAAATGAAATTGTGTATTTTTATATTTATACCTTTTTTTAATGTAAGCATATAAAATACAATTTAAAGGTTTATAACCGTGATCAAATGACCGACATTTAATGACAGTTATGCTATTATATTTTCAACATGAATTAGTTTGAATGGCATATATACATATATATGTATATAAATTTTTTAATACTACAAAGAACTTAAATCCAAAGTAAATTACAATAGTTTTTTTAATAATTTTGCCTAAGTCCGACAAAAGTTCAAGGTACATTTATATATAAAATAAATTAATAATTAAGAAAATTCTTTATGTTTTCTTCTAATTAACCCTTTAGTGCAATGTGTGGAGTACAATTTTAGTTTGAGTAAAGTTTTTATAAAAATGGTCTTTTAAACAGCATGAATATGGGTCAGCTTTATTATTTCAACGATATTCATTCATTTTAATGCTAAATTGCGTTCCACATGATTTGATGTAATTTTAAACCTTTAACTAAAGTTCTTTTTTAATCATAGGAATGCATATTCACAATACATATATGTATGTTAAATTTCAAATACAAAAATCTTTTCCTTCTATGAACTTTAAGATGCTCAACATAGAATATTTCTAATTATTTTATTATTTTATAAATCTTATATTTTAAATTTAGGTTATAATTCATCAAATGATTGATTATAATTAATTATTATTTTTAATGTTTAAATTTCAATTAATCTTGTTATTCTTATAAATAGTCCAACAATTTCGATAAAATCAAAATCTTAAAAATATTGTTTCTTGTAGAATTAATATAGCACATTGTACAGTACTAAATTCAATTTATATACAATGTATTATACAAACGGTAGCTGTATTACAAATTTCCTCCGGTTAAATATCATGTTTACTTATTTTTGAAAAACTATTCCGCGTATATAATTATTATTTGTAATAGCATAGCTACAGATATGATTGTGCGTTTTGTTAAAAATATTTCTTATAAAGGCAAAATCGTTTTGATTATACAAATTAAAAAAAAAATACTGAAATTAAATCATTTCAATATGATTGAATAAATATAATAAAGAAATTAAAATACTCATACTTTCTAAGAAATTAATTTCTCCACAATTAAATATTAGAGGAAAATTTACAGAAAAGGCAAATGTAAAACAAGAAAATTAAAAACCAAAAATTCTCACAATTTAATTTAATATTTTTTTCTTTCCTTTCTGTTACCATAAGTATTGTAATGTAAACAATGCTTAAAATCAAAACTGACAATTATGTATTCATCCACAATAGGGTTAAAAAAGTCTTTTTATTCAATTTTTATGTACACAATAGAACAAAAACAAGGAAATTTTAAAGAGTTGATCAATAATATTGTAAGATATCTTGGCAAAGAAATTGAATTTATGTAAATAATAAACTATTTTGGACGTTATGAATGTTGAACTTTAAAATACTTATTTTAGTGTAAGTGTGAGAGCGAATTCAAGTAATCAAACATCTTACTTCATGCTTAAATTGCACTGCGTTCCTTTGTGAGGCAGAAGTTATTATTGTTTTTCTTAAATTAGGTTTTGCATCAAGAAAAGGGTTATTAGTTAAAAATTAAAAATTTCAAATTATATGGCGTAGCCGTTCTATTTAAATTTTAAGTATTTTAAAAAAAATTTCATATTTTTGTTGTCAACTGATTGTCTTCACTACTGTTATACTCTGAAAATTCTATAATAATCCCGAATTCCTTTGGTTGCAAATTTCATTTGTGGGTTAAATTTTTTAAATTTGTTATGAACAATTCAAAAAATAAACATTAACAGCTTGATCGTGCATGTCACTTTTTTACTCACTTTTTATTCACTTTCAAATTAGAATTCTCAGTATTTTCTAATGGATGTTTCATTCACTTTCCAAAACCAGAGTGAAAAAATTTTGTATGTTTTAGAAAAAAACGAGATACGCAATACCAAATAATTCTTCTCACTCGAAAATTACATTATACATGTAGATGTACTTATATGATAGTTACTAACTTTCTTCGTATTTTCCGAGTAAAATAGCGAAATAAACGATCAGGCTCTCTTAAATTTCTTCTTTCTATATTATAAATTAAAATTTCAATTCAAAATACTCTTCTAATAACATTCTTGCATTCGAGCAGCTTTATTGTGTTATGTACGATTAAAATTAATAACGAATATAGAAATTAAATTGTCTTTCCCATGAAAAGTTTAATATGTATAAAGTTGAAAAACAGCTAGAAAACTGAAAACCAATTTTCTTAAAAAACAACTCATTGCATTTTTTATTATACCCTGCACTTCGTGAAGGGTATATTAACTTTGGTATGGAGTTTGTAACTACTTGAAGGAGTCATCTGCGGTATGGACATATATATATATTCTTGCTCAGCGTAAAATTCTGCGTCGATTTAGACATGTCCGTCTGTCCGTCCGTCCGTCCGTCCGTCTGTCCGTCCGTCCGTCCGTCCGTCCGTCCGTCCGTCCGTCCGTCCGTCCGTCCGTCCGTCCGTCCGTTCGCACGATAACTCAAAAACGAATAATGCAATCGACACCAAACTTTCACAAGTTTTTTCTTTTGTGCCAAGGACGAGCCCTATTGTTATTGGACTAATTCGGAGAACGGGTTCGGGTAGCTGCCATACAACTCAAAGAGTTTATTTTAAATATTTCAAAAACTAATAAAGCTATAAATATAAAACTTTGTATACATGTGTCCAATTATATTCTACACATGCTCTAAAAATTATAATGGGATAGCTGCACCGGTTCGGGTGGCTGCCATACAACTCCAACAGCAAATTTTTTATATTCGGCAAAATAATAAAGTCAGATTCATGAAACTTGGCAGTCATGTGTCCAATTATAGGTCAAATATACTTCTGAAGTTTTAGAGGAATTGCTTTACAGGTTCGGGTACCTGCCATACAACTCCAGAAGCTAATTTTAAATATTTGGAAAAATAATAAAGTCAGATCCATGAAACTTGGCAGTTGTGTGTCCGATTATAGATCATATATATTTGTGAAGTTTTAGTGGAATTGCTTGACAGATTCGGGGACTTGCCAAACAACTCCAAAAGCATATTTTAAATATTTGGAAAAATAATAAAGTCAGATTCATGAAACTTGGCAGTTGGATGTCCGATTATAGATCAGATATATTTGTGAAGTTTTAGAAGAATTGCTTGACAGGTTCGGGTACTTGCCATACAACTCCAGAAGCTAATTTTAAATATTTGGAAAAATAATAAAGTCAGATTGATGAAACTTGGCAGTTGTGTGTCCAATTATAGGTCAGACATATTTCTAAAGTTTTAATGGGATTGCTTGACAGGTTCGAGTAGCTCCCATACAAGTCTTAAAGCTTATTCTTAATATTTGGAAAAATAATAAAGTCAGATCCATGAAACTTGGCAGTTGTGTGTCCGATTATAGATCATATATATTTGTGAAGTTTTAGTGGAATTGCTTGACAGATTCGGGGACTTGCCAAACAACTCCAAAAGCATATTTTAAATATTTGGAAAAATAATAAAGTCAGATTCATGATACTTGGCAATTGTGTGTCCGATTGTAGATCAGATATATTTGTGAAGTTTTGATGGAATTGTTTGACAGGTTCAGGTACTTGCCATACAACTCCAAAAGCTAATTTTAAATATTTGGAAAAATTATAAAGTCAGATTCATGAAACTTGGCAGTCGGATGTCCAATTATAGGTCAGACATATCCGTGAAGTTTCTACAGAATGACTTCACAGGTTCGAGTAATTGCTACACAATAACGAAAGGTGCAGGGTATTATTCAATCGGTTTATACCGACTGAAACGTTTTTACTTGTTTAATCATTATTTTTTTCTCCATTTTTTTTTTTGGTTTTATTGTTTCACAGTAATCGATCACAAGTCATTATTTGCATACAATATGTACTGTTTACTTCTATCAGTAGTTAATTTTTCTTTATATATTTTTCTAGAGAGCTTTATATAGAATAATTTTATTGCTTTTGTGGTAAAAGAAAAATCACACCGACAATAAATTTCTAATTTTCATGCCCTTTCATTCAAGCGAACTCTTTTTTTCTTTTTAGTTCTTGATTTTCAAATTTTCTTTGAAGATTTTTTTAATGGTACTGAATTGAAAAACATTCAAATATAGCGAATAACATAATAATTATATGGTTTACATTTCTGTATGTATGTTGTTTGTATTTAGAGACTGAGCTGACAACAAAAACTAGGTAAAATGCAATTTTGAACATAAATTTTACATGATGTTTTTGGATTCATTCGAATTAGAGTTACCCACTTTTTTTTTATAAACATTTTTTCGTGTTCAACATTGAATTATGATTCCATTGTGTTTTTTGAAGTTTTTTAGTTTTCATTTCATGTTTTTGTTTGTTTTTCTATATACCAATTGAAAAATTATTCTTTTCATGTCTCTTGAGGATTATTTTATGTTCATATATGTGATAGAATTTTCGATTTTGGCGTTTTTTTACTTTACTACTGTTTACATAGCCTATTATTTGTTACATATGCACATGGTGACAAAACACAAAAAATAAAGGTAGAATTTTAATTATATTTTGAATAAACAATTTGAAATTTCACTCACGAGTCTTATATACCATATCATTATTATATCAATGACCATGATCCGACATAAGGGAATAGAAAATATTTTCAATTAACTGTATGTGTTGCAGAATTATGTGAAATATTGATTCTTAAATCAAATGGAATAACATGCATATAATAGAGTAACATGGTAGTGACAATAAGGATAAGTTATAGTACGTCTATATGTAGTTGTTGTGAAGTGGTTATTATTAACGATATCTAGGAGTTATTTATTATACTAAATGTATAAAAAAAATGAAAAATTTTGTAGTCTTGCAACAAGAAAGCT